ATATTAGTGATCTTCAATATTTTCCATTGGAACTATTATCTGATACAGACTGTATTGCTGTGAACTTCATCTAGGGTGCAGGGATAATAATATTATAGTTGTAAAGTGCCACTAATCTGGTAACTTGCTATTCTGAGTACTGAAACAATGCAGTAGATCATTCTTAATTGTAGCCTTACATTTGCAGATAAACTGAAACCAAGGCTGTTATTGATTAAAAGAGGTGGCACACTGCAGACCCTGTAAGAACTACATTGTTCTTGAATTTCATACAGTGTAGCTTAGATTTTTACACGTGATTTGAATTACTTGAATGTCTTAAAGATCTGTGTTCCAACCAGATGTGAGAAATGGCTTTGGTTTTAAAAGTTTTAAGGAAGGACCACCAAATACTGAGAGGGAAAAAAAAAAACCCTCTATATGCATTTTCCCTATACCTTCAGTGGAAAATAGAAACTAAGAAGGGTAGCCTTTTTTTTTTTTTTTTTTTTTTTTTTTTTTAAATATAACTTGGACTCCTGTCAGGAAAATGTTATTTACCTGAAAAGCATAATTATCCTTTTTCCATCTTGGCCTTTTTCTCAGAGCAAAGTTATACACTGGTTTACTGCATTTGATAAAATGCTCTAATTGAAAGGATTGAACATTTGTGTACTAGTCTTACTCTTTACAAGCCACCTTTAACTATGCCAAATATCTACCAGTTAAGTACCGACCGTACTGACTACAGTAATTGGCTTTACTGATAGAATACATATATGTTCCTGTTAACCCTACTAAGACATAACGTCTTTTTCCATTTTTTTTTTACCTGTCAGTAGAGCTTTGCTTTTTAAAGTTATCTTAGTCATTTTCTGAATTCCTTACAAGGAGTCATTAACAAATATTCAATTTCAAATGAATGTGCTACTTCTTTGAAAGGAAGATTAGGTCACGTGGTACTCCATTCTGTTTTGTTGTCTTTTCTTATCTCTCAGAATCAGGTTTTTGTTGCAAAGTAATATGACAAAGATTAAATAGACTCTGTTGTTCAAAAATTCCATGACTTGTTGAGAAACCCCTCCATTCCTGTGAAATCCTCATTGGTGAACTGAAGATGACTGCTACAAACTGACCACAAAAATGGCATGAAAAAGGCAAAGCGAATTTATCTACGAAGAATAAATAAAGATTGGAAATTTCTTTGGAAATACCTCTAAAGCTCAATTGAACACAGCATTGCAAAACTGAAAGAATTAACCAGTTTGTTATGCTATATACAATGTTCAATATAGCAGTATGTGTTTCAAGCCAGCGGTAAAAACAAAGGTGCACTAATAAACAAGTTACTATTAGTTCACAGAGATACTATCTGTATGTATCTGTGAGAAGTCCAAGCAGTACAGAGATCGACTGGAAAATATAATCGGCATTATTCCTTTTAATTATACCTGGTGATTTGTTCAGAGATTTATAATCCTGACCTGGATATTCTATAAACAGATCCTTCATTTAGAAGGGATTAGAGTTGACTATGTGTGATAACTCACCTTAACATAAACTCTTTAAGAAGATGTCAGGTTATGGAGTGCCTCCTAACCATTCCCTCTCCTTGCCCAACATGCCTGCTGCTGACCACACTGCATCACAGAACTCCTACCTCCAAGTGACCACGGAATGAATCATGCACAAACCCTTTCAGAGGATAAAATGCTGTCTTATTAAGATCATCAATATCAGCATAATTTGGGGTTGACATATATGACACACTCAAGTTCAGTAAGCACTGTTTTATGCAAAGCATCAGTAGAGAGACCTGTCTAGGTAATTCAACCATTCCAAATGCCATGGTCTCAGGAAGGCAAAGGCTTGCTAATCCAGACTAGTCTGTGAAACTGGCCAGGTGGAGGCTGGTTCCAGCCCAGAAGATGTATATGACTGACTGCCTAAACTTTACAACTACTGTGGCCTCCCTGGCTCCCAATCTGGTGCTCGGACTGGGTCAGCTCAGATCCAAAATGGTGAGGCTTGATGTCTGAAAAAGAAACCGTAAGGGCACCAAGAAGCTATAGTCCCAACAGAATAAATGGCTAAGAACTACACACTTTTTCCTATATGAAACTCACAAATGATTTGAACTGAATCCTCATCCTGATTGTGGATCCTACTGGAACTTCATGGAAAGATAATCAATTCTTTTGCAAATTCCTTTCTACATACTACACACGCACACATACACAGTTGTGAAGTTACATTTTTACTGATGGTTTTGTTATAGGCTGAGTTCAGCCATGTTGAAAATGGTAGGATTAACCACCGCACATCTCTTTTGAGCTGTAAGAAACAGTTCAGCACATGTTTCTGCCCTAAACAAGGTGAATACAAAGTTGCTCAGGAATTTAAAAGATCTGGGTGGGGAGCATTTGATTTTGTTTGGGGCAGGGATTTAGGTAGAAAAAAAATGAGCAGATGGAGATGAGACAGAACTCAGGAGCAGACTGGGAAGAGTGGTACAAGCCTGCAGGAGCAGTGATGCATGTCTTTGGGAGAAGCCTATGGAGAGGGTTTTCAGTCCTGCTGTTTGCTGGGGATGAGAACAAGGAACATTCCTCCCATTCCATGAGTGCTCCTGTGCTCAGGATAGCAGGGTTCAAGCATCTTTTGAGCAGACATCATGTCAGCAGCACAGCTGATTCCCCTCACCCCCCCCCCCAGGCAACTCTCCTGTTCTCCAACCAATATAACGTACAACATGCTCAATTCCACTGTAGTAATGGCTCAAAAGAGGGCGACTGTATATTCAGTCCTATTCAAAACTGTATAAATGTAGACATCTCAAGCAGTGAGCAAATGTGAATAAAGAACACAAGAGAGGAAAAAGAAACAGAATCAGAGAATTCTGAAATGCAGGCCAAACCAGAATCAACTTTGGGAAGCTTTTACAGGTTTACAAATTGACAGACGCAGTTTGAACCAATTTCTTTTAAAATTCCCAGGAATCAATCAGTCTTTAGTTCTAGATTACAAACAGTGAATTTGGAAAATTCTGTATACAGCCAAAGCCAAGTTTCAGACCTTCTACAGTTAGTAAGTGTAACTGAAATCTTTGAAAAAACTGATAACAAATACTGAAACAGGTCCTGAGCTGCATCTTTAAGTCACAGATTTAACAAGAACCTGGGAAGATTTACCTTTTGTAAGACTGCAGATGTGGTAATCCAGAGATTTTGGTAGGACTCTAAAATTCATATAACTGTAATTTATTTCCACATACTTATCATTTCAGAAACAGGGATCAGTAGCACTTTATTCCCTTTAGCATTCATGTGGAAGGCCATAGAGCCCATACTTCTAGACTCGCCAGTAGCAAGACAACTATCTTTGAACTGAGCTTCCCAGGAACTAAGTCCTCCTCCGTCTGGAGTCAATGGAAATGCTAGCATAGGCTTTGGTGCAAGTGCATTTAACTTTTAGTGTTTTTCATGACATCTCTTTTTTGAAGGATATGCTTACTTAAGCATTTGTTACAAATTGTCTGTACTGTTTATTTTGTTAATATGAGGGTTAAATCAGGCTTGTAATGTTTTTCTCATTTTGTATCAAAAAATCTTGTGCAAAGGAAGGACTGTCTGTGTTGAGCAAATCTTTCAAATGTTGAGCTAGCTTATCTTCATCTTCCTTCCTATTATCCATTCATATAAAAGGAAGGTGTTAATGATATGAGAGTTGGCAAACAGTTCATAACATAAAATCTAAATTCTGTTTTGTTTGTGATGCAGGGAGAGAAGAGAGAAATCCATCATTTCAGCAATTTAAAAATTATTATTTTTTTCACATTAAATTGCAGCTCAGTATGACTTGAACTGGCAGACCTACCATCTCCAGCAATCCATGTTATATAGTGGAAATGCCAATAGACTCCATAGAACAGTGCTGTTAATGTCACCACTCTTTACTGTTACTGAAATGAATTTACAGGAGCTGGACTTTCGCTCTCAAATCATGCATTACGTTATCACTTTTCTATTTGCACATCATTTATTTAAAAGTAATTGTTTCCTTGATTCACAGCCTTCCACACCTATGCGATATGAAACATTATGTGCTATATTTCATCTCTCCCTAGGTAAAAGTCTACAATGTGTTGATGTTGATGTGAGATGAGGATGCTCAGCACTTCACAAAACCAGGCCCTAAGCAAAAGGCAAGCATAATGTTTCAACAAGTACGAATTACAGATGGACATGGTGAAGGTGGTGATTAAAGACTGTTATGAGTACAGTCTGGGGTTCTGATGTTGCAGTACTAAGCTGCTTCTATTTTCTTTTTGTGACTTATTTCTCTATGGAGTACCTCTAATGGTCCTGATTCTTATTATTGATAATAATTACTGATCCTTTACGTACCATTTTTATTTAATGATTCTTGATCAACAGAAGAATTCTGCTTGTAGCAACCCAGACTGAAGCACTGACCTCTGCAGCACTGAATGTTTGCTCAGACCCTCTTTCACCTTCACCATGTTTTGCCGAGGGGAGGGCACTCAGTCCTTTTCAGCAGGCACTGGGAACAGAGCTCACCTCACCATGCCTGGCAGCAGAGACCTGCACGTCAGCTGCTCATCCACATCCCCCTCATAGCTGATTGGAAGAAACAGCACCTGCAGGCTCTGGTTCATCCTAAGTATTTCAGACATTTAGGAGAACGTGAATTGAGACCTCTTAGTACCTTGTGCTATGGTGACTAGTTCAGTTATCACGCTTACTGCTTGCATCTAGCTTTGCTCAGCTGCATCCCATGTCTCGATACTTCTCTCAATACGTCCTTAAGCCCAGGATAATTCCACCTCAAGCCATTGTCAGGATTTAAACAAATCGATCAAGCCTTACTTCTATTTATCTCAAAGGCACTTTGATAAAGGAGCACATTCAATGATTAAAAAAAAACCAAAACACTGGTTACCTGGTGACAACGCAACATTCGCCACACACTAAAAGCAACCCCTTCAGGTTTCACTTACATTAATATTTAGGTATCAGCAGGAAGTGATGTTCCAAAATCATGACTTGGTGATGTGTTTATGATCTGCTGCATGGACTCATTCACTGTAAAAAAGAAAAAGATCGTTTAGCAGATAAAAAAAGGTTATTTTATGAACCAAGATGAAGTTCTTTTCTTGCTGAAATATTAAGTGATCTGTTTGGTGCTCCTGCCTCAAATAGCCTGAGCTTCCCTTAAAAATTAAAACATGAAGTTCTCTGCTACTTGTTTTGATATTGTCTTACTAAGAAGTCACAGAGCCTCTTACACCGAGTCCTGTCCTTTGCATCAGTTCATTTTTTTAATTGTGTTTTGCAAATTCAAACTTCATCAACCAAACAAATCTCCCATTTTGACTATAGAAAATCTACCTTTGAATCTGAATTTTGCAGGTTGGATTTCCCTTTTCTTTCTGTCTGAGAACACAGTCATGGCAGCTACTTGCACGAGTTCATAATTAATTGAAATGCTAGTGACATGAGTACTGAACATTAACAAAAAAAATTATTACACTTCGAAGCAATAAAATCTTAAAGAGTTAAAAACAGCTCATTTTTTCTCCAGGTTGCTCAAGTTAGGAGTTGTTGCAACGCACAGAGCATTTGGGTCTTTATTCCCTTTTGCAGTGTCTTTTTAGATTTCCATGAATGTGACAGAGATCTGCACAGTGGAGTTTGATGCAGTGATATGAGACTCTCTCAGCGATTTTCAAAATATGCAACCCATAAATCATTCACCTTAACCCGGACCCAAATTTGCATAAAACCAGAGTCGATCATCTCAAAAGGTAATTTACTCAAAGCCCAAACAAACCCAGCTGTGTGAAGCACATAACAAAGTTATGAAGGTAAGATTCACATGGCTTCAGGGTTTGTAATGGATGCTTTGCACAGCTGTAATGATGAGTGGGTGAGGATAGTTAAGAATGAATGAAGTGTGGGTGGTGGAAATATTCACTGGGCATGTCACGGCCAGAAGAGGAAACACTGGGGCCTCCCAGCCTCCGGAATGGAAAGGACGTCAAGGCTCCGTGGACAGGGGTCCTACTTATTTATTTATTTCAGCCCTGACACATTCTCATTAGGAAGGCAAAAATGTGAAATCGATAGTTTCTCTTGAATGCAGGGAGCCGACTGTGGCTGCGCAGCAGAGCTGTCTTATAAACTGCTTCCAAACGTGTGGGTGCCTCTTGGGCTTCCTCAGAGATTTTATGGACCGTTTTCAAAGTTTTCTGTAAATTCCCGCCAACAATGTCTGCATCCCCTACCACATCAGTCAAAAATTGAACTGCGTTTCAGAGTCATGTAAATGCCTTCTATAAGAAACATTCGCATTTTACGAAATGAAAACTGAGCTGACTACTTCCCGAGGTGAATTCATCCCTGGTTTGTCTCCCTCCTTGCAGTGCAGTTACCGCGGGGATGGGTTGACTAATAGGTTACCATTAACAAACAGAAAAATGAGTAGCCCGTATAACTGAACATGACAAAGGTTTCTTCCAGGATTGCCATGGCACATGATAAGATGGCACATTGATAAGATCCTTCATTCTTACCGTTCTCGAATTTTCGTGAGAACTTATCTGTAACTCCACAAAACCCAAAGGCCGGTTTGTGTTTCTTTATGGCATTATTATAGGGCACTGTAAGTGTAATAAAACAATCTGCTAACTGTTCTCCTTGACTGTTCTTATTCATTGCTCCTAGACAGGTTTTCTTGCACATATGGTAAAATATATACAACAACTTTCATATCTAAGGTTCTAGTAGTTTAAACACAGTCCATTTCTTTATTGGCAAATTATTCTTTGTAGTTAGGACTTGATTAGGCTGGGAAATACTGAAAAATATGTTGACTAATGCACTGTTAAAAATATAAGAAGTGCAATGTTTAAATAATGACAGATATTTATGGACCAGTGTAGGATTAACTACAGTCTTCTGATGAGGTTTCAAATATGGTCTTTTTATTTGCCTTGAACGGTTGTTCATGGTTCACAGTTGTAACCACAACTGATACAGCAGTTAAAAAGCTGCAGTTCTCCAAAGCTACCTCTATTGCCTATCAAGCAGAACGGTGGCGTAAAATGATGTCTTCACTGAAGTCTGCCCAAAATTCATCGATTCTGGAGGAGCAGAACATTTCTTTATGTAGAGAACAATACACTCATTCAATCTGAAAGCAAAGCAGTTTTTTTAAATTGATTTTTTTTGTTTTTTTTTTTTTTTTTTTTTTTAATCAAGTAAAACTATCTTAAGGGACAAAAAAAGTCTTTGGCCCTGGGCAAGAATTAGTGGCATTGATAACTGTCACGTCTGGGGTTTAAAGGAAAGCAATGAAAATTCAGAATTTGCCAGAGTTTCATTATTTAAGCTAAAAGACTCATTCAGCAAGAATCTGTAAATAACACTCAATCAGGAAAGAGCTTTCTGAACAGCTGATGTGAAACTTGAAAAGTGGCAACGTAACAAATGTGATGCGGGAGGCAGGGGGAAGTGCTTTCATTCCAGTTCAGGAACATCTGGTTTATTGCAACAATAACTACTGTAATTATATCACTGCTGGAAAAGCTGCTCTAGGTTAGGTTAAGTTTGTGGGTTTCTATAATAAACATTGCTTTGGAGGAGTGGGGGTTTCAGTATTTCAGCCATGTCAGATCACACTGAACTGAACCGTGATTTGAGGCAAAAATAACAAAATATGGAAAACATAAAAGCATTGTTCCTAACCATATACTTCTTGAGATATATTCTTGGTTTATTCCTCATTATAGCAAGTGGAGGGTATGCCAAAGAAGCAAATTGTTGGATGACTGACCATATTTCACTGATAAAAACTAAAAAAGTAATTTTTTTGTCAGCTGGAAATAGGTTTGTTAATGCATTACAGCAATATAAATTGCTGTAATAAATAAGCAAGCATCTTGCAAAGGACATTAAGTACAGTTATTGTCACTTTAAATACAGGGACGGACAGTAGCTTAATGGCAGAGAGCCTCCAAGTTAGAATATGGTGCATTTTTCCAGTACGAAAATATGCTGTGAGCCTACACAACTTCAGTGTACCAGCAATATATAAAAAAGAATGGGTCAACATCTTCCTGACAAAGGGAAATAGGAATGTCATTGCAAATATATGAATACCCATTAAAATGCTTTGTTATTATAGGAAGGTCTAAGACTGCTGCCGACCTCTGGGAATTTAAGAATGATGAAGAAAAAGATATTTTATTATGGTGGCTTGCTTGTCTACCTCATGATTTGAAGTCGTGTGCTGCTGTGTACTGAGATTCACATATTTGTACACAATAGATCAGATAGAATTTGCAAATTACATGCATGCGCTCTTCTAACAATTGTCTCAGCAGTCTTTCATGATTGCACTGGCAAAACATTTCCTAAGCAAGAACCAACTTACATTACACATGCAAATGTGGGGTTTATGTGTGCAGAAGATTGCTGTTTTATAAATGCAGATTTAACACTATCTTTAGTTCTAACTCCTGCAGCTAAAATAATTTCTACAAGCTCAGTGCTTATTTATCATATAACATCTCATCACTAGGTTCACAGCTCTGGCCATGGGCTGCTGAAATTTTGTAGAATTTTAAATAAATATTTTTACGTGCCCATATCATTAACATTTTTATTTGATATTTGTTCTTGGTTTTAAATTAAAAGGCTTTGACGCTCATTGCCCCAAATGGCTTAATTCCTTGTGATTATTCTCCAGAAATATTACATCTCAGAATTACCAATGGCAGAACAAATCATCAACTGATATCAGCAATCACAGGGCTGTGTCAAGAGGAATATGGGACAACTGATGTGAGCTGAAGTATGGAAGAATATGTTCAAAATATGAAATGGTCCAATGACTAAACAAATGAGGCACAAGCTTGAAGCTTGCTCTGTTCTCATGCTGAATGCCACCTGGAACCCTGACCTGCTACTACTATCAGAAAAATAAAAAGGTAAACAGCACTAGGCATGTCTTAATCATGCTAGCCTTAAAATACCACCTAGAAGTGGGATGAAGCCTTCACCTTTCTTATTTTGGTTGTTAAAAAATCTGTATCTCTGCCTCTGCTTGCTGAGACACTGAATTTTGGAAGAAACTGACTACTGCCTGTATGATATTAAGTGTCCTCAAATGCCTTTTCAATGCCTTTAGATACCTTCCAGCACCAGGCATTCATTCAAAAAAAGAAGTTGAGCTACTGCAGTTTTTTCAGCTTACCTGGTGTCAGGAACTCTTGCAGTACTTAAGGTTCTGTCCTGTAAAGTCCTGTAAAATGTTGACCTCCTTTCACTCAAAACTAGAGGTGGGCCGTTCTGCATAATCCATACTTCATATGATTCAATATATAAACTAAAAGAAAAAGAAAAAAAAAAAATTAACAAAAACGAACAAGCAAATAGAGCTGGAGATCAAATAGTGGACAGAAACACAATTAAAAAAAAAAAACAACTGCTAAAGATATATTTTCCAATTCTTTTTTTTTTTTAATTTATTTTTATTTTTTTTTCCCTCTGCTTTTATAGTGCTTCCTTAGTACATCTAAACAGCAGAAGAATTTGCTTGTGGTGGGCTGACTTCCTCCCATAGTGCTCATAAGTCACCACCAATTGGTTCAAGTGCCTTTCATCTGTGCTAAGCTCATAGCATAATTGCTTGTGCTGAAGATAGTTCAGTCCCATTTCCAGCATTGGGTCCCATGCCACACTACAGTGAGAGACATTTACTGGCATTGGTTGTTCATGTTTGCAGCAAAATTATGTATGGGAAAGGTGGGGCAGCACCTGTAACCCTGTGCCATTCTCATTTCCCATGCAGATAATACTGGAGGTGTTCCCCTGGAGCTGTAAGCGCTTATTTGATTTAGTACTTCTCTATGAAAAGCTCTCTTTTCTGAGAATAAGCAAAATAAGTTTACAAATGAGGCAAAAAAAAAGTCTACCAGACAGACCAGTGATCTGGGATATTATCTGGGATGATATTGTAAAGCTTAACAGTTAATCATTGTCCACCATTTGTAAGCTACATGTAAATATGAATGATAAGTAAATATTATACACACATAGAGTAAAATAAGACAGAAAATCCAAGTTCCACTTCCATAATGGTCTGAGCAATCCTATGTCTTTTCCTTGAACTCTTTTTTTTTCTCTCTTCCTTCTAAATTGCCTTGTTGCAATAACAAGAGCAGGTTGTATTAAGAATACATCATTCATGGAAATGCTGCCACTATTTCCTGCGTGAGCATAGCATATCTTCACTTTAAGGAAACCTGAGTTTTGTGGACACGTTCAGAGATAGGTGTTCTGACATTCAGACTTTGTTCAGTGATGACACTGCAGAAGTTCTACTAGAAGCTGAGGAGACAGATTTGCAACACAATCCTGGAAAACATAAGTCCTAACAGTAAGGAATTCTGTAGTAGCAATTGCATGTGCATTGAGATAAGTGCTTTTTTTCTGACTATGTTATGTTAACTTCAAAATGAAACAAATCCATGAGGCACGAATGCTTTTGGCATTCAGCTCCACTGCTTGTAATAGTCTGGTCTTCTGACTGCAGGTTAGAAATCAGAGATAAACACGAAACGTAAACTTCAGACCATAAAATACAAAACACTCGGCAACTCCAATTTAGATAGGGAGTCTGACTGTGCAGAGTTGAATGCTGCACCAAAGGAATGTGAGCATTTGTAAAGTATGACAATAAAGGCAAGGGCCATACATAGTTCACAGATCTATGGAAGAAGCTTGGAAGGGAAACTCATTTGAAGTTCGCACTATTAAAAATGGGGGAAAAAAAGGGAAATATTGGGGAAAATTTGACACTGAATTTTTACAATCACCATAGGGTTACTGGTTACAGATGTTTCTGCAATCATGAAGAAAATGGAAGAATCCCTCAACTCTGTACTGCTCAGTAAGACATACTCTGGGTGTCAAGAATTGGTAGGACAGAATACAGCAGAGAACAGTTAGGAACTCTACCCTGCTCCTCAGCCTGGTGAATGACAGGATGATTACCATACGGCAAGAGCAGGCTGCAGTTCCTCCTGAAAGTGGCAGCAGCTATAAAGTGACCGGTTGTCACTGCTGGGTCGGTGCCCTGTTGGCCTCCCCACAGGGAGCATGAGGAGCGCCTTGGGGCACTGCTTTCAGCACCGATTTAGGTTTAGGCTGACAGAACACTTCAGTGAGGGTCTTACTGTGCCCTCATTCATCATGTGTTTGTGTCGCTGAGTTGGGCATACCCAACTGTCCGACCCAAGGCTGTTTGGTGCTGATGTGCGTCTTCCCCTCCAGCATCTGCTGTCTGGGGGCAGTACCTAGCATCATTACCATCACGTGCTGAATTCAAGTTGCATCTGTGCAGCTGGCTATTTTTATTCACCGTTTGTCTTTTCCTTCCAGTCCCTCCTCCAATTCAGAAATCTCACTCGTAGCCTCCAGAGAGAAGCCCACAGGGGAGAGCTCGTTTTTCCTTCTTCACAAAACTCCGTGTCCTTTCAGTGCTCTCCCATGGAGCATCGGCCTTTACTCTCTGCCCGAGCTCCTCCCGGGCTGCCGGTCGCCCTGGAAGCACTTTTCCCACATGCTGTATTGTCAGGGGACAGCCTGACCATGGTCCGTGGTTGCTGCCTGTGGCTGTGTGGGTGGAAAGGGGCAGAGGGGCCCACCAGCGCGGAGCAGAGCGACGGCAGGAAGGAGGCCTGGAGACCACTGGGGTTTGTGGGTGAGGAGCTGCTGACCTGCCAGGAGCTGGGCTCTGTGCAGATCAGGGCATTAAAAACAGAGAAAGGAATGGTTCTTTAAATAGCAGGCTATGATTTGCAGAGAGAGGTTTTGTCTCTTCCAGACTCAGGCGCATAAAGTTTGTCATCTGTCTGTAATGTTGTGAAATTCTATGTTGCTGTCAGTCTGTCCCCACCAGCAGTGGCACCTAAGGCAAAAAGCAGTCTCACCGGCAGCACAACATCACCCCACCTGGTAACAGGAACTTTTGGGAAAGGCTAGACAGTTAAACTTGCACCCAGCCATCCACACGTTACCTAAACTAGACACCAGACACTATCCAAGAGACAGATTGCCACAATCCATAACTAACTGAAAGATAAAGCAGGCTTGCTTGGGATTTTTGTTTTGTTCTCTGTGTGTGTGCGTGTGTGTTTGTGTGTTTATGCCAACTTTGTCCAAATGATGGCTGGCAATACTTCCTGATTTTGTAGTTGAGATATATAAATACAGCAAGAGCGAGATAATATCTGATAATGTAATACCTTTTCTTCCCTAGGCATTGACAGGAGTTGGTTCTTAACTACCCTGCAAGTTTAGACCTACAAAGAATCCTCAAAGTGCAGCCACACGCTACCTGCAGCAAAACTGCTCCAGCTGAGTTTGGTCTTATTTAAGTTGTAGAGCAACAAATGCTAGTGCTCATCATTCACTAAGGTCAGAAGAGACAAGGAGCACACAGCATCATTTATGAAGTATTGCAGAAGATCCACTTCTGCAGTTGATTCATGCTCAAATCAAGGCTATTGATATTGTCTTTAGGACAATACCTTAGACACTCGGTCACAAGAGGTTAGGTAAGATTAAAGAACTAAATTTTTAAATCTATTAATATTAAAAATGGTCACTTCTGGCTTTTCATTCACACCATCTGTTGCCAGCAGGTTGTATAGGCAGTTTTAGGGCAGCTTAATAATTGTTCCCAATTTTTGCACACTGAGAGGTTAAAAATAAATCTTCAGCCACACAGAAGAGTCCTCAACCACTGATTTCTCTGCAATATTTTGGCAGCGTAAAAGAAAATATAAAGAAAATATATCATATTTCTTTCTAAATATTCCCAGAATTATTTCTTCGCATCACATGTGATATAAATAAAACAAACCTCAAGAATCTGGCTTAGAATATGGAATAACATTATGCTAAGGTCATTTCTGCTGTGTTTATCACAGTAAATTTGAATTATAGGTGTCACTGTGCATAATATTTAAATATTTCAATGATGCACAGAGCTCTCAACACTCTTGTTTCTTTCCCATGTTCACGACAATTTGCCAGCAACAATTTAGAACAGAGCAATCATTTCAAAGCAACCTCTCTGAGTCAAGAAACTTGTGTACACACTACACAGCTGCATCTAAGATGCAGCATAACCCTCCACTTTAGCACCGGTATCATGCTTGGGGGTGCAAAAGTATTAAGACAGTCCCAGGATGTCCATCTGAAAGTTTCCCTGACTTAAGGGATCTGTGGTTTAGAGACAGTGCTGTCAGAGCTTGTGAAAATGAATCACTGTCACACTTCCCAGTAGCCACAGTGTCCGTATGAGTGTTCCTCCTGGTGTGTCTTGGTGCAGCCCTACTGCTGCCACGTATTCAGGCTGGGGGGGGGAGAGTTAAAATGACTCTGTTAAGTTTCCACTTTGAGAATAGCCTGTCTAAACAAAAGTCCAACCCAAGAAGAGAATGAAAATTGAGGGAGAGTAAAGAAGGGAAACTAAAGAAACTTTAAATTACCTGAGGTACAAGAATGAAGACAAATGCAAAACTGCTGGAAGAAAACAGTGGAAGTATGACAGATGACCTCTTAAAACATAAACAGATTTTAGCGTACAAATAGCAAATAAGGGGCAGACTAAAATAAATAAGAATTGCTCCATGAAATAGATATGAGTGTTAAAAAATGTTTTATCCAGTGATATTTTCACAGGATTTTGAAATGCACAGAGGAATTGGACTTTTGCACAAGATGTTGATTTTTTTGACTAGTCTTCCTACAGTAATTAATTCCTTTCATATAATTCAGTCTCTCTGGCTACCGTAGTCAAAATTTTCAAGATTATCTGGGAAATAAATGTAAAATGCTGAACATATCTGAAAATGTGGTCATTTTAAGGTGCCCAACTGGAAATCAAGCTATTCTCGCTAGTGAGCTTTGCACAAAGCAAACCTTTTCTTCATAATCCAAATATTCAGTGCAATTCCTCATAAGACAATGAGGATAATTCTGTATCTGGGAATAGCCACAGGAAGGTGCCGTGACAGGGAGGAGGAGAGACCAGTTCAGAGGTGTGGGAAGACCAAAGCTATCCCATTTCCTCCAGCCTCCACTCCCAGCCTCCTCTTGAGCCTCAGCCACTCCCAGGACTTGCTGGAGCCTCCAACCAGTTCCTGCTTTTCCCCAGTGTGGAAAAGTCAGTGATGGAGCTGGACCATGACAGCAGCAGAAGCCAGCAGACAAAAGGCCTGGGAGTATTGCTGGCAGTACAGATGGGAGCATTATACAGAGTAGCGTCAGCTGGAAATGTGTTACCGAGCTTAATGAAGAGCAAGGGAGGAACAC